CACATAAGCATTGATTTCAATCATTGGGTCCTGAGAAAAATACTGATCCTAGTCAATCAGGACACAGACGTGTGACGAGTACCTTGAATTGCAGAACCAAAGCAAATTCTGCCAACCTCTGACAGAATCTGAGCTAGAGGAGGAGGATGGTCCGTTTGGGTCTTGATCCTTCATGCTGCCTCGCAGCTTCTCCTCTGCCCACAGACCTGAGTGTGTTCTGTGCTAATACCACTAGTAGCAGCACGAATTAAACAACCATGGTGCACCTTCTCAGGTAGGTGTTCTCTGACTACATGGCCTTCCGGATACTGAATATGGCAGAGCATTAAGGGGTACTCCTTTTCTTGTTCTTCTTTTGTGTGAATTTTTTTGTTTTTGTTTTTGTTTTTGTTTTTTTGGGTGCTGGGATTGAACCCAGGCCAGGGGTCCTTTACCACTGACCCACATCTCAAGTCTTTTTTTTTTTTAAATAATGATTTTACCTGTATTATTTTATTTTTTTTCAATATTATATATATAATTTTAAAATATTATATATAATTTTAAATATTATATATATTTAGAATATTTAAAGTATTTAAAATGCTCACCATCTACAACATATATATATATATATGTTGTAGATGGATATAATATGTATATTGTAGATGGATATAATCCTCCTTTATTTTATTTATTTATTTTTATGTGGTGCTGAGGATCGAACCCATGCTTCACACATTCGAGGTGAGCACTCCATCTCTGAGCCACAACCCCAGTTCCCTTCTTTTAAATTTTTATTTTTCTACTTAGTTGTACATGACAGCACAATGTATTTCAATTCATCGTACACAAATGGAGTGCAACATTTCAATTCTCTGGTGGTACACAGTTTAGAGATGTACCGTTTATGCAATCATAAATGTACCTAGTGTAATGATGTCCAGCTCCTTCCACCATCTTTCCTATCCCCATAACCCCTCCCGACCCTCCCCTTTGCCCAATCCAAAGTTCCTCCATTCTTCCCATATGCCGCCCCCATCATAGATAGCATCCACTAATCAGAAGAAACATTCAGCATTTAGTTTTAGGGGATTGGCTTACTTAGCAAAATATTCTCCAACCCCATCCATTTACCTGCAAAAACCAGAGGACAGACTTCAGGCCGCGACCAACCCCAATCTGAACCTCGCACTTGGGTAGCAACATGACGTGCAGATCTGGCCCCAGGTGGCCTGTGGGACGGTGCCCTCAGTGGAGCACATTTCCAGCCAGCAGCCAGTGGTTCTGCTCCTGGGGTCCCTGGAGCCCAGAGCTGTGCTGGCTTGAGATCCCCAAAAGGCTTTCGGAGAAATGTGGAATTCCTAGGAAAATCAGCCAAGAAGTGAAGCTAAAACACTGTCCTGCATCTGCGTCAGTGGGGCTCCTAGGCTACAAACGCCCTTCATCTCACACCAGGTCAGGGAGGAGAAGCACCACAGTGGGAAGGAGGAGAAAGAGAGGGTTGTATGGATGTTGACCAAAGAGGCATAAAGCAAGTGGATTTGGGGTCACTAAAATGTTTCTGAGAAATATCGTATTTTCTTCATGGAAATAATAAGAGTCAAGACTTTTAAGTTCATTCCCAGTGCCCCAGGCACTCATTTAAACCTCCCATCAGGATCAAGAGGCTAGTAGTGCCACGATCCCCATTCTACAGACATAGAAACTGAGACCAGAGAGGGTAATGAGCCTGCAGAAAATCTCACAGCTCTCTGGGTTTGAACCTGGACCAATGGCTGGTTCTTCTTAGTCCTCTACCCACCTCTCATCTATGTAAATGTCATTTAGCTATTGTGTCAGCCTTTAATATATGGCAATGTTTTTGCAACAATGTTTTTGCCTTTTGTTTTTACTTATTTTTCATTCTTTTCTTTTATTTTTTAATCTTTTCCTTTTTATTGGTGCATTATAATTATATATCAGTGGGATTTACTGTGTTCCTACATGCACACAATAAAACAGTATAATTTGACCAAGTTCATTCCCCAGTATCTCCCCTTTCCTCCCCTCCCTCCCCCGATCCCCTTATTCTATTCCACTGGTCTCCCTCCCATTTCTCTTTTGAATTTGTTCTAATTAGTCATACATGACAGCGGAATGCATTTCGACACTTTATACACAAATGGAGCACAACTTCTCATTCCTCTGGCTGTACGTGTGCAAAGCCACACCAATAGTGTAATCAGACATGTGTACAGGGTACTAATGTCTGTCCCATTCGTCCTTCCCCTCCCCACTGCCCACCTCTCCCCTCACTCCCCTCTACACAATCCAAAGTTCCTTCATCTTCCCTACTGCCTCTCACGATGGATCAGCGTCTGCTTATAAGAGAAAACACTTGGTCTTTGGTTTTGGGGGATTGGCTTACTTCACTTAGCATGATGTTCTATAGTTCCATCCGTCTACCTGAAAATGCCATAGTTCATTCTTCTTTAAGGTTGAGTAATATTCCATTGCGTATTTGTACTGCAGTTTCCCTATCCATTCGTCTACTGAAGGGCATCTAGGTTGGTTCCACATTTCAGCTGTTGTGAATTGAGCTGCTATAAACATTGGCGTGGCTGTGTCCCTGTAGTAAACATCCCTTTACTCTCTGCCTCTTTTGCATTTTCTTTCTGAATCATTCCTAAAAACCTTGTGGACAAGTCTGTTTTCGATTTTTTTTTCCTTTTTATTGGTACATTAAGTCCATTATCAACAATGTTTTTAGGAATGATTCAGAAAGAAAATGTAAGAGGCAGAGAGTAAAGGGATGTGTACTAGTGATGCTCAGAAGGACTTTCAGTTGAGTTTTACTGCTGTCTCACCAGGCCCACCACTGGGTTAACGGAGCAGGTCCAAGGGCATGATTTCTTTACTTGTGATTTTTTTTTTAAATCATTACCTTTTTGTGTTTCCCGTCTTGGGTCACCGTCTTGAGTCTTCCTCACGTAGTCTTGGTCCACCGTCTCTTTAGCATAATGGTTAGAATGTAGATGATCCCTGGCGAGTGCTTAGGCTGCTTGTCCTTCCACATGACACATAAATCCCCTGCCTGCAGCACACTCGTCAGCCACACCTGGGGGGACTGTGCATCCACCATGTCACCTGGTCCTAAGGGTGTGCCCTGGGAAGGTGGTGAGCTCATCACTAGAGCCACAGTAAGTGGTGAGGGACCTGGATGTCATTCTGAAAGGACTCCATCCTTCTTGCACTCAGCAAGCTGCTCCTGCAGCCACGCCTACCCAGCCGGCAGGGGGAAGCAGCCCACAGTCCGTCTGTCCTTCAGAGGGTGAGTGGGTAAGCAAGACGTGGTGGACGCTCAGCAGAAGTTTATTCTGTCAAATAGAAGAAGGAAATCGTCATGGATAGTACAGTCTGAGGAACTTTGAGGGCACATGCTAGTGGGAAGGTCAGCTCCCAAGGACACAGATGACGTGACTCTACTCACAGGAGGTCTCTCCAGTGGCCAAAGTCATGGAAACATGAATGGAAGGACAGATGCCAGGGTGGGGGGGAGGAAGAAACGGGGAGTTCTTGACTGACAGGTGCAGAGTTTCAGTTTTGCAAGATGAAAAGCTAGATCTGTGGCTCTGTGGTGTGAATGTAGTTAATATTTCTTACACTTTAAAGTGATCTAGAGAGTGAATTTAATAATATGTTTCTCCACATGTTTAAAAATTGTCTAGAAATTTTTTGAAATGAATTTCTCTGTGTGGAAGACAGATTGGCAGACAGGACGAGGTGAAGCCAGCCTGCCCATGCCCCTGGGCACCATCTTTGTAGGTTTAGACCCCAAACGAAGCCTGTGGTCTGTTTGTATTTTCCTTTATGTTTTCTTTTTTGTATGTACAAACACATACATTTTTGTGCCAGGGATTGAAGCCAGGGGTACTTAACCACTGAGCCACATCCCCAGCCCTTTTTATATTTTACTTTGAGATGTGGCCTTGCTAAATTGCTGAGACTGGCTTGGAACTCATGATCCTCCTGCCGCAGCCTCCCAAACAACTGGGATTACAGCATGTGACACTGCACTGGGCTCTTTTCCATATTTTTATTGGTGTCTTATAATCATGCATAATGCATTCATTTTTACATATTCATACATACACACAAATATAACAATATAATTTGGTCAATTTTGTGGTCTGGTTGTACCCTTACAGTCTGCCGTTGCGGCAGTAAAAGGGGTGGGAGATACGTTCATCTGTTCTCTACACAAATCAGCTGAATTTATAATAACCATTTCAGATGAGATCCTGCACATCCCCAGAGTGGTTTAATTAACTGATGTGTTTCTCCTGCCAACAGAATTACTTAAAAACATAACTTCAGGTTTATTTTAAAAGGCATACAGCCCCTCATACTTTGTCTTAGAAACGCCGTTTGTTCTTCATGTGTAACCGTGATACCGACATGATTTTATTGCAGTGTGGCTTGGTGGGGGTCCCCAGGGGAGGGTGGGATGTGCTTGTTCAATTTGTGGATGGTGCTGATCCTCCTTGTGGTTTTAGACCCCATCATTAATAACCTCTCGAGGACCCACTAAACCGTTCTGCGTTTCCCTTTCCTTCCTCTCTTCTCAGCAATGCAGCAAAAAAGCCTCTGCCTCTCTCCTGTGGCTCTGGAAGTCGTCAGGCATCATCGCCAACCGACCCTGGCCGCGGATCTCCCTCACGGTCGTCACCACGGCCATCATACTCACCATGGCCGTGTTCAACATGGTAAGCCCCAGGGCTCCTGCCACATAGGGCTCGTGCATTCTTGCCTTTCATGGCCTGTCCTGGTGCAGTCCTTTGGTGACACCCATGACTGTCACTCCTTTGGTGACATCCATGGCTTCCTGCCTATTAAATTCAGTGTCTATCAGCTGCAGCAAGTTTCTCCAAGGAGAAGAAGGTTTCCACAAGTGACCTGGAGAGAGACGGTGGCTTCATAGGGCAGTACCCGTGTCCATGCTCCTGGTGACTGCTTGGCAGAGCACAGAAGTCACAAGGAAGTGCTGTAGGACCATCAAACTAAGAGGGTGCAGCAGACGAGTGTCCTGCCCCGGACCTTGGAGGGCTGATCTCAAACCCAGCTCCTGACTTATGCTGGGAGCTTTGGAAAGATTTCCCTTAAGTGTCCCAGGCTCTGTTTCCACTTCTGGAAAGTGACAGCCAGGATTTGTCCACCAGGTGGTCCTAAGGCTGAAGTGAGCTGAGTTCTCTCCATGCTTAGGTCAATGCTGGGCATTGTATCCAGTGGAACCAGTGGCCACTCTTCCCATACCTGTATCATCATTACTGGTGTCTACCCCAAGATGGCACTTGGGGTAGTGTGCTTGGGGACACAACCTTCTTATTATTCCTTCATCATCATCATCATCATCATCATCATCATCACCGTCACCCAGAAGGGTCCTTGATATTTTGCAAGTGCTTGGAAAAGCAGAAGAGCATGAGAATACCATGAGTTCTTGCCTCTCAGAAGCATAGCATTAGGTTGAGGTGACAGAGCACATATAATTTAATAATAATGTCGTTTTCGTAAAGGAGAAAGCAGTCATGGCAAAATAAAAAAGATTCTTTCTGCATATAAATTCGTAAGTGTGGCCCAGGGCCACTGCTGGAGCTCAGCGCCCAAGGCACGCTCTGCCTTCAAGGAGCTCAGGGTGGGTCCAGAGACAGCCCACTGGTGGACCTGTGCAGGGATCATCCTGATGCACACCAGAGGCAGCCACTGAGGCACACAGAGGTGGCAGGAAGGCAGAGCAGGCCGCTGGCTGAGTTCTGAAGCACGAGGAGTTCACCAGAGGAACCTGAGGAGGTGGGGCCAAGAGAAGGTGGGCAGGAAATGAGGAGAGGTGGCCCTTGGGTCTAGAACGAGAGCAGAAATTTGCAGAAACAGTAGTGAAAAACAGGGCTGAGGAAGTGGAGGTTGGCCCTGGGTGCTCACATGGAGTCCACCCTCAGCCCCTGAAACAGGTCACACGGTTGCCCCCAGACACCTGGAGATTCAGGTGAGGCCAGTGCCTGGAGCCCAGATAGGCTGGAGCCCCAGCACAGGAGTGGAATGGCCTCTCCGTCCTCTCCATCAGGAGGATCTGCGTCTTGCCCTCCTGTACCCTGAGGATGTCATGGGGTCCTGGGCAGAGAGGTAGGTAGGCAAGAGCCTCGGCTGGAGACCTGAAACCCGAGTGTTCCCACAGTGGGTCCCCACGCTCAGCCTGCGGCGTGTTGTGCATTAGTGCTGCCCTGAGATGGGCTCCCGGGAAGCGCAGTCAGCTCAGAGCAGTTTTGTAGATTAAGCAGCAGGCGCCCGCTGAGTCCCAGGTGAACTCAACAAGGAGGGGCAGAGAAACAGAACTCTTGGAGGATAGCAGGGTGCACTGGCAGGAGTTCTGAGTGGTTTTTGCAGCCAGAAAGTTGTGTGTCCTTTCCACTCAGAAGTGAGTGTCTGCTGCAATGCCGTTATCATCAAACCTCCTCGTCTCCCACCTGTGCTCACCTGTGCCCCTCAACGTGCTTCCTGAGAGTTCACCTGCACTGGCCAGTAGCAGCGTGTTATGGCAATAAGCCATGTGACATGACATCTGCATGGAAAGATATCTCTTTAGGAGGTCTTTGTTTTCTTCAGATTTCCAAACATCCTAAGAAGGGAATTCTCTGTAAGGAGTAGTCACTCCTTAGTTTCTAAGTGAGTGATGGAATAAGTAATGAGTGAGTGAAAAGGTAAGTACAGAACGTTCTGAAAAAGAAACCGTTGCCTTTTGTGTAAAATCCAAACTCAGAGTTATTAGGTAATAATTTTAGTTATTAAAAATTAGGTAATTTTTTTAGGAGAATTCAACTGGGAAACATCTGATTTGGAAGCTGACCATATGTCACGTGGGTAATTGGTAATGCTAGACGGTAACTTAGTGGCCGTCTGTGAATGTTTGACAAGCACAGCACTTAGGAGACCTCTCTGCAGCACCTGGGTACTTCTAGAGAGAGGTTTGTCTTCAGCACCAGAAGGAAGTCTCCCACTGGTGTCCTTCCTCACAGAGAGCAGGGTGCATTGCCAAGGGAAGTGGAGGAGTCCGCTGAAGACACTCACACAGAGGCTTTGAGAGGGGAGTTACTAGGGACAGGGGAGAGAGGAATGGTGGTGCTTCCGGGCAGAGCAACCCACACTGAGCAACCTTCTCTGGGGCAAGGAAATGGCTTTCTATCCCGCCCCATCCTTCCATGCGGAGGGAAGGGGACCAGTGGCCATTTTTATTGGCACCTGGTACACCAAGATCAATGGCTCTTGTCCATGCAGGGCTTTAGTATTTATGTCAAAGCAAAATCATAAAATGGCATGGAAGCTGACATTGGATATGGGGAGGAAGTAATTCTACCTAGTCGTTGTGCCAACTTATAATTTATTAATCACAGAAGAGCTTGTCCCTGGGGCTGTGCCTTTGATCACATCAAACGGTTTACAAGGAAATGCCCTCAGCTCCTCCGGTCCCCTGCTGCTGAGCTGGAGAGCAGAGGTGGACTCAGCCTCCTGGCCACACTCCCCACTGGGTGGTGCCCACCAGCTTCAGACCATGGGAGCAGAGCCGGCAGGTCAGAAGGCACCCCCACAGGTGCCGTACCAGGGAGTGGTCTTGCCCCTCACCCCTTCTCACCTGGGAAAGTGAACACCTCCCCTGGGGGCCAGCAAAACTCCTAAATTTCTCTTAGGGACAAAGCAAAGAACTTTGTTTTTTTCCCTTTTGTCTATCCTTAATGTTTGCTATTCTCTCTTGTGTAATAACACGTCTGACATAAAACGTATCCCGTAACTCTGACAGCAGGAGACTCAGTGGCATCAGGACATAGGCAACTCGGTGCAGTGGTCACCACTATCCACCACCGGACTTGTGCATCACCCCTAGTGGGAACCCTGTCCCACGAAGCACCGCCATTCCTCCCTCCCCTGTCCCTGGTAACCAGCGTTCCACTTTCTGTCCCCGTGAGTTTGCCGGTCCAGCACCTCCTACAGGTGGGCTCGCAGGGGAACTGTACTTGTGCCTGGCTCGTCTCACAGCACGCTCTGCTCAAGGCCTCGGCTTCTTATTGAGGCCCCAGGCCCTCTACAGCAGTGAGCGTCAGTCTCCTGCATTTCCCCCAACGAGGGCACACCGCCCTTATTAACGGCTTCTCCAGCATCTTCTGCCATTACCCTGTTTGCCTCAGAGGGAGACAGATGGGAATAATTTGAGGCGGCCTGAAGCTGCCCATGACTTCCCTCTCTCGTTGACTGTGGAGCTGGGCCCCTTTCACATTGAGACTTTTCATCCATTTTTAATAACTACTCTTTTTTTGAGCCTGCATTTTAACAGCCCTGGTGAGAGTCAGAGCCAATAAGAGCAGTGTGTTCAGAGGACCAGCTTTTAAAGTTTCATTATGCACTGATATTGAGAGGACAGGTCAAGTTTCAGATAAAATAGATTGTGAGATTTTATCAGGATTTTTTCAACATCTGATGTTCATCTGTTTGATATCAAATATCTCAATAAAAAGTGGAGAATAACCAATTAGCTGCCCACCTTCTTTTTAATGTAGGTTCTTGATATCAAGTTGCAGGTGCCTGGTGTTGAACTTGAGTTCACAGCACATGTGTGAGCTAGACAGCCTGCCAGGGCTGGCTCTGATGCGTGACACTGCCACCCTGGGACTGCCCTTATCATTAGGCAATTTCTTCTGACAAACTCCTAAGAAATGTATCATACGTAAACATTTCATGGATTTGCGAGCCTCACAGACAAGGGGTCAGCTGAGGTCACTGGAAATGCCACTGAACTTCAGATTGTGTGCAGAAGGCAGGCACAGTACCACCAGGCTTAAGGCGCCCTATCAAATCGTGTGCTGACACTGGACATGCTCTGAAAAACATGGTCTTAAGACGATTTTAATTGCCTGGGAAATGTAAAATTCAGAGGTAAAGTAGACACAGTGCTGTTAGCACTGAAGAGGGTGTCTTGTTCTGGATGACAGTCTCACTTTCCCAACCACCATCAGGACCGACCGCGTGCAAAGGCTGCAGCGAGGAGCCGCGGGCAGTGCTGATGCTGAGGCTCCCCCTCCCCGTGTGCAGCCAGTGGAGAGGGTCAACTCAGAATGGGGTTAGAGGTCTCTTGGCTTAGGGATGCTTGAGGAACGCTGGAAAGAGGCAGCCGAGGGGCCGATGAGGCCTTGGTGCGCAGAGAGACCGAATTCCCTGTGATCAGGTGCCCATGAAACGCTTGCCCAAAGCGTCTCTCTCCTCCCACAGCAACAACTTCACACCTCTTCTTACTTCTTTAGAGTCTGTTTTGGGGCAATTACATCAAGAAGGTTTTTTAATCGTTTTAAGACTCTGCCCAAAACCAAGCTGGTGGTCATCCACCAAGTTAAACAGTCTATTGTTATTTGTCATTTCTTGATTCTTTGCTGTCACAGAATTTTGGCCATATTAAATCTAAAGCTATAACAATTTAAAGCCCAATATTTGCCAAGCAATTATTCCATTCATTTTTTTCTGATATATTTGAATTGGCACATGTGCAGTTCTACTATGGGTTGTGATACTTGATGTAGATTCTTTAAATAAAGAAATCTACTACATCTCTTTGATTTTTAAATTAACGTTTTCCTAAGCCTTACCAAATGACAAAGTGCTGTATCTAGTGTTAGTCCTGGGAGAGAAGAGTCTTGTCCCCAAGAACCTACGAATAAACACCTTTGTGTCTCCCTACGTGAGCTCAGGTATTGGCCAGTATCTATGCCATCAAAGGAGATAAATCAGTTGACAAAAGCCACTGGAAATAATTCAGGGAAGTTTTATTTTCCAACTTCGAGTATGAATGCTTAGCCTTTGCAGAACCACTGCCTAGATTCACAGAGGAGATGGATTTCTTCCAGCCAGGTGAACATGGCCCAAGTCACAGCGCTCTGGTTTATCTTTCCAGAACATTCCTCTGACACTCAGCCACATGACAGCAGGTGACCCTGGGTCACCTGGTCTAGGAGGGAGACTGGTAGGGGTGAGAGAGGGAGGAGAGGCTGAGTCCTTCCAGCCTAGCCAACCATGGCCTTCTAGGTGCTGTTAGTGACCACATGACACAAGAGCTCACTGTCTGTCTTCTCAGGATTCCTTTTTATTCTCCCTGAGAATATCCGTCCTCTCGGATTTGTGATGCCTTACCCAGAGGCTCACAAACAGTGCATGGAAATATGATAACCTTTTGTCCATAGCGTTAATTTTCTTCTTTCTTTTTCTTTTTCTTTTTTTTTTTAATATTGGGGCATTCAACCACTGAGCCACATCCCCAGTCCTTTTTATTTTATTTATGTTTTTATTTTAAGACAGGATCTCTAAAATGCTTAGGGCCTGTCTAAGCTGCTGAGGCTGGTTTTAAACTTGTAATCCTCTTGTCTCAGCCTCCCAAGTTGCTGAAGTTATAGTCATGGGCCACTACACCAGGCTAATTTTGTTTTTTGAAATCAAAACCCACAGAACTCTATTGACTCACTTAGTATGTGAGCCAAGAAGGCACAGTTACTGCAAGAGACTTGCTCCTGAGGCTCTGGCTATCTTGGAAAGCAGAATGTCACACACATGGCCGTGCCAGCTAGACGAGCCCTCTGTCCCAGGCTCTGTGCATTTATTTAATATTTCATACAGATGCTTCTGTTTTCTTTGGTATCAATCCTGGAGCCCTGGCATGCTCTATTGAGCATGTGCAGCACAACAGTTATTTAGTTACTGGATAGAAATTCCCAAGGCTTCAAACAGGACAAGATGGGCGATGTAAGTGTTTCCGGTACAGAGACACGGTCCAGTCCTATGAGCCATCCTATTCCCGCACATAAGGACACAGCTGCTCATAAGCAGCACCCACCTGATAAGTTTTAAATCTCATTTGCACTAACTCATTGAAAACACCTTTCTCTCTGCAGTTTTTCTTGAGCAACTCTGAGGAAACAATCCTCCCCACAGCCAACATGTCAAACTCAAGTTTTCCTGCCTCAAACAACCAGGCAGCAATTCTGCGTGCACAAAGCTTATTTTTCCTGCCGGTAAGAAAGTGGCACTTGTCACTCTTCATGTCATTTCCTTATGTGCTGTCAGTCTGGACAGTTATATGCAGGCAGAGATCTGGCCTGGACTTTGCTCCTTTCTTAGCTTCACCCCCTGGGGTTATGGAGGGGGTCCTGAGGTTACAGATACAGTGGTCACTGGCGTCGCAGCCCATGTGTGAAAACCCGGGTGTCTCATGGTACTGCTGCCAACCCGGTGGTCTTCCTTCTCCTGCCCGCCAGTTTGTCCAGCACGTACCTGCCCTGGGCATCCACGGATGTGTGGCTGAGTTTCTGGGTGTGTTGCTCGTGGGCTTTGCTGAACGGTCCAGTGCATTCATGTTGCCCCCCAATGCTGTGGGGATGGAGTCCACACCTCCCACTTCTGCCTCTCCCGTGATTCTGTCCTCAAATAATTCTTGCTGACTCTTTTTGACCAATGACACAAAGGAACTAGACTGAAATGCCAAACTTTCAAAGACATAAATTTTTCTAGTGGAAAAAAAAGTTAAATCAGTCACTTACTACTTAATTTCTTTATTTCATGATTTTGTTTAGAAAAAAAATTTAGACCCCTCTCTTCACTTTCTGAATCTCCATCTAGTAGTAGCTCAGGGTCTTCCCATTAACTTCTGTCTCCACCGTCAATTTTGAGAAAGCCAATGGACTCTTGGAGACTGAAACTGATACGTGGATAAATGTACTTCCAAAGTCACCTGCCACTGGTTTCGACTCCATTAGCTGTGACAACAGATCCCTCCATTCTTCCTTCATGGATGTTCTCCTTGATAGTTTGCTTTCACCCCTTTTCTCATCATTTTAAGTTCCTAGGAATCCCACAGCTCTGGTACCAAAAACATTGGCCTCTGATGTTATTTGAGGTTCCTGAAGCTGAGGCTGGTCCACGGGCAAGATGACCAAGGTCTGGCAGCAATGTCCCCAGGGTTTGGGAGGAGGGGAACCATCGCTTCATCCCTTGTCCAAGGGGTCCTGTCTTCCAATTGAGTGTCATCGCAAGCCCTGGTCTGGATCCGAGACCTTGTCTTTTCTACTTAAGTTGCGTGACAAGTAAGAGACAGAATTCACCACGAGGGTGTTCTGGTTGTAATCCCCAGGGGGCAACTGGGAGCATCTGCAAATATACAAATATAAATATTTCCTGTATGGTTTGCCTCCTCCTCCTGGAGCCGGTGACATCCACATGATCCACAGCCCAGTGAGGAGAGAACGCCAAGTAGTTCTTCCCAGCATCCGCATGGCAATTTAAGTTTGAAAGTTTAAAGTAAAAATGCATTTTTTATAGAAAAGAAAGTATAGCTGGCAAGAACGATTTTTAAAAGTCTCTCTGATATGTTTGGGTAGAACAGCTCACCATCATTAAAGGAATAAGACCATCACTAGGAATTTCACTGAGGTTCGTCTATTGTCTTTGCAATTGGAATAAATAATTACGAACCCAAGATAGGAAGGGCAGCATTGCTTAACCTGGAAAGAGACGAACAAAGTGCACGGTAGAGTATTGAAAATCTCGGTAGGATTTAGTAAGCAGGCTTCCCTGTTTCCACCTCAAGTCCCCAGAAAGCAGATTCTGGTCAGCTCTGCCGGGGGGCACCTGTCCGCAGGGGCTGTCTGTCCACAGGGCTACAACACCGTCCTGCTGCACACCTTCAGGATTAACTCAGGAGCCTGGAAGCACCTTAGCTCCCTCCTTGAGAGGTCTCCAGGGACACCACCAAGCCATCTGTGGTGTGCACCACACAGTCCTTTCTCTCTAACCCACGTTACATCATGCCTAAGGTTGGCAGGTGAGCGGAGAGGAGTTCCCTTCCCAGCCGGGGGCGGCAAAAAGTGACATAGCTCTTCTTAATGCCAACTATAGGCCACCAAGAAAGCACAGACACAGGTGGACTCTTTGCCTTGCATCACTAGTATTGGAAATCAGTCTTAAAGACGGGAAGGTTCACCCACAGAGGTGTTTGTCAAGATGTTCATATAGCATTCGCCACAAAAAGCAGGGAAAAGACCTCAAAAGTTACTAAAAGCAATTTTTAAATAAATTTTGTTACAACCACACTGTAAAATTTACTCAGCCTTTATGATAGAGGTTGTAAAAATATTTGGTGACATAAAAATATATGTACTTATGGAAAATTATTAATTGAAAATTACTATGTAAAACTTCCAAATAGCATGATCATCACTTTCTAACATAATAACCCTGATTATTATTAATAGCAAAAAAAAAAAAAAAAGACTAGAAAGACAAACAAAAAACCCTCATTTTCTTATGTCCTTCTTTAACATCAAATGTATTGTTTCCACAGCAGGGAGGAAAGGTCATTTTAAAACGCCAAATGCAATTACCCATAAAGGATCTTTGTCATACAAGCTCTTCACACCACAGCGGGCATTATTTATGTACAATGCTATCTCCTCCAATAAACTGCCTCATGAAGTAGATATTATTTGAATTCCCATTTTGCAGATGAGGAAATGGAGGACCACAGACATCAGTAAATCCCTGAGACAAAGCTACTCTTACTTGACATAAAACAAAAGCTGATTTCATCAATGACATCAAAAGTGGTAAACATGACTAGTAGTCAGGTTACTGGTAAGCATATCCTAAGAAGAGTCAGTTCAGTGGCCAGCTGCCAGAACTCTCGACCATTGAGCATTCTTCCTGGTGGGTTGGATGATGTGGACGGGACAGCTGGTCTGCAGGGCTCCAGCCTCACCTTCTCTCTCTCCACGCATCCCTCTTGGCTGTCTGTCGCTTCCCAAACTACCTGTAACGACGGACCACATTTTGCATAGCTCTGAGCATCCTTGGAAGTTATTAAAACTAGTTATTAGAAATTGGACTACTGCTTGTCATCAGCATAAATATTTTAGGAGGTGTTCCTGAAATGTGGGTACTTTCCCAAGGCCTAGGAATGAATTTTAAAATGCGAGATCTTGAACATTATTTATAGGCATTGACACATATTCCAAATGAGGGATCCTGTGGGGACCTGTTCCAACCCCCCAGGCCTTCCAAAACCCACATATGCCCACTGATATACACACACTTTACAAAACAGTGGTCACGTGTTCTTCCTTCTCATTCGATTCGGTGACACTGGTTGAAAACTTTGAGTACAACGGTGGTTTCCAAGTGTAATTTTAGTGATAGAATTCCTTTAAAAGTCAAAACTTACAAAGAGCCCCAGGTTCTAACAAAATAGCTCTCCCCGGGCTGGCCCTGTTCTGAACTGCTTTGTCATATTCACTGGTCTCAAGAGTTTGCTGAGGTGGGGTCTTCGTCCCTCCTGAGAGTGACATGAGGAAGAAACGGTTTTGCTTTAATTGTCAAAATAAGCCCCTCGGCCATCAGATGGGGCAGGAGCGCCACCTGGGAGCTTCACTATTTTGCTGGTTCCAGGGCAACTGCAGGGCTTTAGAGAGTGGTTCGGGATCCTCCTGATCACTGACGAGGGGACCCCTGACCACTGACGAGGGGACCGCCAGGTTGCAAACCAGCATTTCTCTCACTCCTTGTGGGAAATTTCATTTTGCTTTGTTTATTGAATTTCAAACACCAAAGATCCTATGTACTATACTTTTTAAAAATTCCCTGAATGTAGAAAGCATCATAACTACTTTCATTTTCAAAAAAATAAACGATGTTGGCCTGTGGAATATCCTCCATGTAGGATTTTTTTAAAAATTTTTTTTTTGAAAAGTGTTTGGCAATGTATGTGCTTATTTTTATTTATCATGCCAGGTTGGATCAGAAAGCTGTGGAATGAGTAATTTTCAGAAATCAAATGTACTCAGGCATTTGGCTCTGGCTCAGAGGTAGAAACAGGTGCCTGCTATCCCAGCCAGCTCGCAAATTGACCCCGTGAGCTTGACGCTGGCCCCCAACTCGATGGTCAGCATCTCCCTGTAGAGAGAGGTCCTCAGTGGCTGTCTGTCCTGTCTCCTGTCCAGTACTTCATATACAGCTGCATTCTGGGGCTGATCTCCTGCTCCGTGTTCCTGAGGGTGAATTACGAGTTGAAGCTGCTGCTCATGACGGTGGCGTTGGTGGGCTACAACACCATCCTGCTGCACACCCACGCCCACGTCCTGGACGACTACAGCCAGGTCTTGTTTGAGAGGTGAGTGCTTGCCCTTCCTCCTCCGTCTCTAGTTCTCTTGCGGGGTGCTGGGTGCAGACTGGCAGTGCCGTGTCACTCACACTCACTCCAAGGAAGCTGGTTGAAGGGATGGTTCGGGGAGATGTGAGCGTTTTTACTATGGGTTACGTAGAACCCATATCATCTCACACACTTAGAAAGTGTGAAGCGGTGAGGATTTGCACTGTAATCTGAACCATATGGCTAGGAGCAATCTGCTGACGTTTGGGACTGAATAATCTCTCATGTGGGGACTGATCCCGTGCGTTGACGTACAGCCTCTACCCACCCACTGGAGGCTGATCACCATCCCTCTGTTCCAACTCGGCAACCACAAATGTCCCTAGAAATTTCCAAATGTTTCCAGGAGAGCAAAATGGCCCCAATTCAGAACAAAACGACTGCAAAAATAAGTAGTTATGTTCATAAGCTATAGTGCTAAATTTCTCAGTAATAATTTCCTAAAAGACCACTGTGGGGAGGAGAAACTGCTGTGGAGAGGGGAAACTTCTTTGATCAAACTCTTTGATACCTAAGTAACTGACTTCCAGGAGAGAAGATCCCATCAACCCTCCCAGCTCAGGACCAGGGCAGCAAGAAGGGTCCTGTGGGGAGGGCTGGCCTGTCAGGTGTACTCAGTCGGGTTTGAGAAGTCCTGTCATCTGAGTACTTCCATCAGCTTAGGGTGAGTTTTAATCCCCAGCTTGAAAAGAACACCTTTAATTCATCGTGACGTTCTCCATTTCACGTCTCAATAACCAAACATTTTAGGGCAGATGTCAGGTTTGCCGATGCACACCCTGGCTTCAAAGTGTTTTCCGAGTTTTTCACATTCTCTGTGTGCTTTAACATCAAATGAATGCCTTAAATATTTACATAGATGTGTTGCTGCAGAAAGGTTTGTACTGACGGCCCCCAGCCACTGGTCCAGTGGGCAGAAGGTTCCCCTCGATGGGAACGCTCCGCCCAGGGCCAGCTCCTTCAGAGGCCCCACTGCAGCGAATTCTTTTCTCCTGATTTAATTTTCGTCACCCTCCACTGTGGAACCCTGATGGTCTATCATCAAGCTGAGGCCAGTGGAATTGTGAAAATGCAGAAGTGTATGAAAAAAAAAATTATGATTCCCCAGCCAAGATGAGAATGAAACCAGAAGTTAATTTTCCTATAAATTCTTAACTTGCCAAGCAAAAATGCTTTAAAATCTCTACTGTGTGCAGAGAGCCTGTATCCTGTTCCTAAATGAATGTAGCCCTGCTGATCTTTGCATAAAGCTGTTGATGATGCTACTAAAGTTCCCATTATTAAATTCAAACTGCTAGGATGTGTTTCACATTCAAAGCAAAAGGAGAAATGAAATTAGCAAGTTTTTGATGGGGACAGATGACTTCTGGGGACCCGAGTGAGGCACATGAAGAGACACAGGATCCCTGAGTGGAGCCCCAGTGTCCCATGGAGGAAGAGGAGAGTCTGAGTTTCAGAGCACTCTTGTGGCCAAGGCCTCTCTTGGTTTGGCCCTTAATGACCTGAAGCCAAAGAGGCTCCTGTGGGGTGTGTCAGTGACACCTTCACTTCCCCGACACTGAAGCCAGCACCCTCTTCAGGGGACGCACCTGTGTTGCAGTTCCTAATTCCCCAGGGTTCCTGGCACTTCCTGAGCAGTGCCTGCATGAGCTGGCACAGAATCCCAGGGCTCCCCTCTGCTGGAAGGGCATGTCACTGACACCATGGCAGAAGGACATGCTGCCTCAGGATCCACAGACCTTCTCTAACGTCAGCCCAAAGGTCGCCACCAACAAAAGACCCTGGAGAGCAGAAGGGGAGGACCCCCACTCCCAATTCCTCCAGCTCAGTGCCCATTGGAAACTGCCCAGTGACTCATGCCCGATGCACAGCCAAAGTCATGTGCCCTCCAGCAAGTGGTTGGAAAGGTTTCCTCATCCTCAACCTAGGGTCCCCATGCTGCCACGACTCTTACAGATATGAAAACAGGATGCTCCCAAGAGAACTCCGCTGTTCTAGCATGGTGCCCAGGGGTGCCCTTGGAGAAGAAGCTGACTGAAAGGAACCAGCAGCACTCACTTCCCGATGGCCAGTCCCTGACACTGAAGTCATGGCGCCCGGTCCAATCTCTTTGCTGTCCTGTTTCTGGGCACCATGTCCCCTTCTCACTCCTGATTTCCTGCCTCTTGCTCTGGTCTGCCTGGGCCCTGTGCTTGGCTGTGGCAGGTCAGCATCCTTGCTGCCAACGGAGGCCCTGGCCTTGCTCCTTAGCGGAAATGAGTGCTCTCAGTGGACCTACCCTGAGCTTCTGGCTCTCAGCTCACATATACCTAAAGACTGAGCAACTCCTCTGTCTTGGTCCTCTGGGTGAATCAGGCATCTCTGTGATGTGTATGCCAAGGACTTTAACACTCTCTCTCCAATCAAGCAAAATAGAAGATCTGAACCAACTTCAGTGACGCTGGCATGTTGGAGGTGCTCAACAAACTCTGTGAATGGATGAATGAGAGTGGGATGTGCTCCTGAACAATCCAGAGGACCTAAGTGCTGGCCAGGGACTCGCTCTCCTCCCGTTTCCCTGAAGACAGAGCCCACTGCAGCTCATTGAAGACATGTCTCTTCAGGAACCACATCAGTTTTGTTGATGTCTTTAAATTTCATAAGAAAGTTTGGAGAAGGCTTCTCTGCTTAAATGTAGTGCCAGAAACGGATCACAGTTTGGACAGTGTGGTTGTTCTGTATGAGTTCTCCATGGCCCCTTTGGCAGGGACTTTTACTGACCAAATTTGACATAGATCAGCAACCAGCCAACAAAACAATACAAACCCACAGGGCACTTTTGCCTGCAATGTTAGCAAAGCAAACAGGAGAAATCGGGATTGAGGTCAGTGAATAATTCAGAACAGGGCATCAAAGATAGTTTTACAGATTCATGAACATGGAAACCAGACTTTTCAGAAGGAAAATAAGATGTCTTTGAGAGGGTGTGCCATCAAAACTCCATCATGACGTAATGTCCACAGCATCCCAGTGCTTACCCTACGGGGTTCTGATGAGCCACCTCATGGTGAAGGTGTTTGTGGTCTTCAGAAGATCCAGAACAAGATGTTTCCTAGTTCCTAGGTGTTTTCAACAGTCTTCCATTTTGTCTGTAGTACAAAATATTTTACTGAGTTGTTCACGCTTCCAGTTTCTATAGCAGGTCACTTTCTCCCCAAGTTCTTAGCTATTAAATACCCTGAGTGCTCTTCAAGGTTGATGGTGACGATAATGACAGTTGATATTGCCGGAAGTGCTGTTTTCTCAAAAAAATTCCTCTTCCCATGACAAGGACTGCCTACAGAGCCTGCAAGATGCTATCAGGTTTTTATGAGTTTCTGTTTTTGCAGAACTGGAAAGCCTCAGGAGATGGGTGTTATCGCTTCACATGGACCCAGGCATTAGCCTGACTTTCTAGAAGGCTGGAGATGTTCTTTTAATTCGAGAAAGGCATGGAGCATGGGGAGCTCCTCAGAAGATCCACTAGGAGCCCTGCAGAGTACCCTGCTCTGTGCTGGAACTTTAGCTGAATAAAATCAATGTTCTGTGGGGACACATGGAGGCAAGCTTAAGCAGCAGGCACATCCAGGATCTCAGGACTGTCACTGTGGGAATGGCTGTGTGGCCCCTCCTTCCACCTCCTCTCCCTGTCCAGGAGAGCCATGGAGATGCTAGGATCTCCATATATCATCGACAGCTGTGAGTGAAGACCTTGAGTGTGGTATTCCCCTTTCCCTGTTGTTTCCCTGTGTCTTGAAAATCCCAGGGACGAGAACTTGAGAAACTGTGATATATTTTGTCCAACCTGGAATCAATCAATATTGAACTTGAATCTTGAAGAACTGTCCAGAAGAGGACAGGGGAGAACGGTACTTCTGTCCCTCTGAGACAGTTGTGGGTATTCCCAAGCACCTGGAATCCTCTTAACTTTTGCTCTTGTAAATGAAAAATGTAGTCCAAATCTACATCCTCCCTATGTTTGAGTTAATATCAAAAATTTTTAAATTACTTTCTGATTTAATATCAGCTTTCTCCATCCTTCCTGTTTCTGCCACTCCATGCCATCTTCCAAAAATGTAAAAATGTTTCTCTGTTTAGCAGCAGAGAAGGAGGAAATTCCTGCTGCCCAACTTGGACAATGAAGCACCTTCACTCAAATTCGACCAAGCTTTCTTTCCTTCTTCAGAAAGCAACCGTTAGCAATTAGCCCCTTGATCCAACCCAAAATAGAAAACATCTTGGGACTGTATTCCTCTGCAGGCAGAGATTTGACTTCTAGGCCTCAGCTTTTGTCTTGCTTGACTTAAACTAGGGGGCAGGATAGTGCAAAGCCTCTGCCCACAGACTGTGCCGGGTGCCTGCTTCCCGCCATCAGCTCTTCAAGCGAGGAAGCCAAGCGCCTGCACAGCCCAAGGCATTACATCACATTTTCGACAGCTCTTCTCCTTAGACCCACTCTGCTCCACAAAATGAACCTTGGCTGCATTAATCAGGAAGCCCTGTTGTCTCTCCAGCCCCACTTATATGGCCTCCTGATCTGTGTTCGGACCCAGGGCTCTGTTCTAAGCATGAGTCTGACCTCGTTGCATTTGTGTTTGCAGCAGTGGACACTGGGCTGCACTCTGGGAAATTTGCATAGGAGGCTGGTGAACCTGTGTCCAACCAGGACCTGAAAGAGTCTAGAAAACCTTTAGAGGATCTGCCCCATTTTCAATCCACCACCTTGTCCCTCGATTCCTTGGTTTTACTGAGCACTCTGTGCGTGCAGTTCCTGGCTGAGCTGCTGTCCTCTGCTTCATCACCAACTGTCAGTGGGCCTGGACATTGCCACTGCCTTGGTGGCTCAGGTGGGGAAGAGCGCCCCAAGAGCTCATCAGGATGCTGAAACAGCAGGCGGGACCATGGTGAGGAAGGACCCCATGCATCTCAGCAGCCCCCCACCCAAGCCAGACCTGGTTGAGGATGCAGGGACGGCCGGGGGCTGCCTCTGTTTTCCCTTATTCATTTTAACCCCAGCATGTTTCTTTGCTTTGCTCTGAAAGTCCTATCTTCTGGTCAGGTGGTTTAGTCCACAGCCTGTGCCAGGTCAGATGCAGAAACTTCATCATATTACACAAAATCCCCCTTTCTGCATCATCTGACATCAGGGCTCCCAGGAACCCAGGCACTTCTCATTGGCAAAGTCAGGATCGTGGTGTGGCACAGAGATAGCATAGAAAGCCCAAAGATACACCCCTAAAGACCCTGAGGGTGAGGGTGAGGGTGGGTGGCAACAGGGACAGTGCCCCCGTCATGGCTTCAGCTTTATACTATGGGTCTGGGGGTCCGTGTCCCCAGGGTCAGACTAATTCTATCCTCCAATGAGCTGAAAGGACCTGATTTTACTGCAATCTGTCTGCTCATCACAGCACAACAGAAACTAGGTTTGTTTGGGGACTTTCCATTAAAAAAAAAAAAAAAAAGATTTTATTTTACCTAGAAAAATGCAAAGTTTTAAAAGTAAACGCATCTTTTTGTGTCTGTAAGCTAGACTGCTTTCCTCCTAAGAGTAACACAAGTGTCCTGTTTTACTCGCCTTCTTTGCATTTAGGTCAGCGGCTGGGTCACCGGGTCGTCCCTCCACCCTCTCAGCCTGTTCCTTAGGGCACGTTGCTCTTTGGGGCCCCTGAAACTTGTGGGCCAGGAAGATTGCTCTGCACCAGCCTCAGGCAGAGAGCCAGCTGCACATTACCCTGTGCTGCAGGCATGTCTGGGAGCCTGAATCCCTGGAGTCTAATTTTCAGATAGAAAGAAAGCGCACTGGGCTGCACCGTGACTGCCCTGTCCCCTTGCGGGAAATCACAGTTAGAACCTTCCAGTTACACTGGCTGCTTCCTCCCCACTTCATACCTCAGCAATGGCAGCACCCAACATGGCAGAGTCCAAAGCAGATCTCACTCTTCAAACATGAGGGCGACAGAGCACTCAGGCACAGCTGGCTCTCGTTTCTATACAAAAGGCTAACCTGATTAGGGGTTGAATTGTGCCCCCCAAAAGAAGACAGGTTGAAGTTTGAACCCCACTTCCTCAAAACTTACTTGGAAATAAGGTAGTTGCAGATGTAATTAAGCTGCGGTCATGCCAGAGGGAAGGGGACCCCCGATCCAGTGTGGCTGGTGTCCTCACAAGAAGATGGACATGGGAAGAGACAGACACACAGGGAAATTGCCATGTGGGCACTGGAGTGATGCTGCAGGGAGCCAAAGGGCTCCAGAGATGACCAGCAAAGCCCAGAAACTGGGACAGGCAGGGCAGGGCTCCCTACAGGTTCCAGAGCAGTGTGGCCCTGCGGACACCTGGATCGCAAACTTCCAGGCTCCAAAACCACCAAAAAAACAACTCCGGTGAGTTGAACCAACCCGCCAACGGGGCCCGGTAAAACAAGCCCAAGAAAACCCCCGGGAACAACAAGCCGGAAAAGAACTGGGGAAAAAGCCAAAAGGCCCTGGGCAACCCCCCCAAAACCCCAACGGGCAACCCCCTAACGCCCCACCCAACCAACTGCACCCAGTCTACAAAGAATTCTACAAGGATGGAGAATTTGTCACTCAGACTTCAAGAGCCGTAGCAGGATCTGCTTATGAGTGGCCCTCGGTGGGGACAAGACCTCTGGTAGACAACAGCAGCCCCTGTTGCTAACTAAAAGAAATTCTTGAGAAGTCTGAGTAAAATCTTAGAAAGTACATCAGAACCCTCCTTGTGGACAGAGAGTTTCAGAAGTGGTGACCGCACACGGACGCCCAGTGATCTGCAGGCCGTTTGGGTCTTGCTATTTCTGAGGCCTGTTTAGGTCTGTTTTCTCCCATCCTCTCCCCAGACCAGCAAGCGAGGCTGCCCTTGTCTCTTGCTTCCTCTACACTCCTACTTTCACCCACCACTACTTTAAGTCAGGTGCAGGTCCCATAGGGAGCAGGTGGGGCAGGTTGTTCTCCCTGCAAACCAAGGTTCACAATGCATTAATGTGAAGAGTCCACAGACAGGATCTCCCACCGCAGGTGGCTTGTGGACACATTCTGTGTGTTAACTGAAAGCCACTCAGGACTTAAGGTGCATAAGGGGGGCCCGGCTCTGCCGGCCATCAGTGTGGAGGATCTGAGCTGGTCTGTATGTTTGGGATAACCAGTCCCTGTGTGGGAATGCAAATGGAAGCTGAGCTTGGATTCGTTACACGGGTGAAGCTGCTGCAAAATCCCGACCTGGGCGTTAGCATTTTACTCTCTGTTTGAGCTTTCAGTGGTAACAGGTGGGATGGGGGATGGCATAGCTTCTTTCTCTGGCCCTTTGGAACTCCCAAGTCATGTGATGCTCATGAAACAACACGAGAACCGGAAGCCAGTCCCAGCTTTAGGACGCCAGTTGGTGGGCACTGCTTTCACTAGCCAGTCAGTAGTGTCTCTGCAGGGCGTGTAGAAGAAAGGGTTTAAAATTCACCGAGTTCAGCGTTGCTTTTAGACAGCACAGCTGAAATGACTGTCACTGGCCCAGAGAGGAGCAGCTCCATTTCAAAAAGTCAGTCCTGGTGAGACGCCACCCACGCCACCCTCAGAGACAGAGACCTGCCCCTGGTGGATGAGCGTGGACTCTTCCAACCCATAGCAGGTGGCAGGTTCCATAGGGAGCAACGAGCCCTGGTGCAAGCACCACCTTTCTGGAGGGTTCTTGGGTTTCCAAGGCCATAACACCCTGGCACTGGGTGATCAGGTCTCCTGGCTCCCACAGGAGTCCTTCCTCTGCCCGTGGCTCTTTCAGTCTGTTCGTGAGACTTGCTGATCCAGATGTCCTCATCTTCTTCTCCAGCTCTTCCAGCCCCACCCCTTCCCTTATCAGCCTGCAGTTAACACTAGACATCAGGAGTGGCACTGCTGAAGAGCCCTGTCTGCGTCACTTGTGCCAGGTTTATCAGTGTATCTGCTGCGCTGCCCTCACCAGTCCTAAGGCAGGCATCTAGACTCTGAGGTGTTGACAGGTTTGTCCAGGGTCTCCCAGCTCAGGATCCCACCCCAGGCTCTCCTGCCTCACAATCCACCTGAGCTCTCAGTTTCACACCAAGTCTTCTTAGTACCTCATCCACCTTCCAACTCTATGCAGAAACCAGAAAAATCACAAAGCAGGCAACCAGAGCAGGAAGCGATGGCCTCAACTCCATTAAACCTACTCAATGCTGCCTCTGTGACAGGCGCCCTTCTATGTTCAGGTCTTCCTTGCAGTTAGATGTGGGAAATACTCACTTGTCAGCCTATGCAGGACTCCCCTGGGAAGGGCGGCAGACTCTCCTGCACCAGCACAGATGTGCCGTCCATCGCTGGCTGGGCGTGGCCAGGATGAGTGACAAATGTCTGCCTGGAACTGAAGGCAACAGGCAGGGTGCAGCTTTCCATCTCTGATCCAAAGCCATATGAAAACCAGTAAGAACTGGCTCCAGATAGAAAGTCATGTGAAACTGTGCGATCCATAAGTGGGAGGAGCTTGTGGACAATGAGCCCCGCATAGCTCATAGGGTCCGCAGTTCCAAGCGTCCGTCTCCTTCTGTGAGCACCAATGAAATCACTGAAGAGAAGGCCACTTACACCGATCCCAAAGGTAGACAGAAAACGATATTGACATTCTGCTCGTCCTTCCTTTCACATTTGTTAGAATCGAATAAAGAGTAAGAGTCTGTATTAACTTGGAATTATTTTTTTCTTTCTTGTGCTTTCAAAATTGGGAGGTTGGTTTTTGGGGTTTTTGTTTGATTTTGTACTTTGACGCATCTGGTCTGGAGACACATTTGAAATGTGCATTTGGTGGGGTGGATTCCAGACATGCCCCGGGGATTCTAAGGTTTGTTGGCGCTTGGATTCTAAGCCCTGTGTGCATGTTGTTTTGTTGACGTCTGTCTGTCGGCTGTTTGTTTGCTTTTCTTACTAGACCAGGCATTTGGAAGGACCTCAAGACCATGGGCTCCGTGTCTCTCTCTATCTTCTTCATCACGCTGCTCGTTCTGGGTAGACAGGTAAGGAGTCTGCTCCTTATAGAACACCTCTGAGTGCAGGTTCATCATGCTCCGCTGGTGTGCATACAAATTCTTAAAAAAACAGAATCATCACACAGGAGAAAAGTGGGTAGCACAAGGTGTGGGCTAGATACAGACGGCAGGGAAAGTCCCTTTTCCCACAAGAGGTAAACATTGTAAATGCCAGGAATATGAATCAACTGATTTCCTGCGAAATCCAAAAATAAATTTTGTATGTGCATAAGCCCCAAAAGCATCCCTCATGGATTCCAAACAGCTGATTGTGTTTGGGAAACGCCCTTGGCTGGGCTTCCGTGTGTACGTCAGGATGGATCGGTGCTTCTTCTGTTTGGAGGGGATGGGATGCTTCTGCTGCCATTCGCAACCACTCCTGGAAATACGGTTCTCTGTTAGAAATTTTTATTTGGTGATGTGGATGAAACTGCTCC